TTCGAAAACAGCATGGGAGGGTCTCTTTGAACGAAATGAGTTTTAGAGTCGCAATCATAACACATCCAGCTTTCAAGAAGCAGCGATCTTTTGAAGGCGCTGCCCGCCGGCACTGTGCTATTCCGGGCGCGATCGCGCCGGCCGCTGTCCACAGTTGGTGGGCGTGGGCGTGCCACAGCAAAGCGGGATTGTGCAAACGCAATTATAAAACGACCGAAGACGACCATTGACCGGTCCGCTGGCGGTTCGCTGGGAGACGGTGGCAGGAGCTGGGCTGGGCGGGGCTGGGAGGGGGGAGGGGGAGGGGGGGGGGGAATCCCGGCCGGCGGAGCCCCCGGCTGCTCCCCGGGGACACATCGGTCTCGGTACGCCCAGATAGAGAGCCCCCAGCCGGTCAGGCGGCCTATCAGGCCTCGGGAGGCGTCTGGCCTCATTGATCAATTACCAGAGATCCTCCAGTCGCCGAAGATCTGGTATCAGAGCGCCGATGACGCGCTGTCACGTTACCGAATGAGGGTAAGTAAGGGACGGAAAAGGAACACAAGACGAGTATCGAAAGTAAACCCTCAAAGCCAATCGGATTTATTCGAACGTTCATCGATATCGCATCGGTTTCTAAGCGGCGCCTTATTAGACCAACACAAAAGTATCAGATCTTGAGCATTCCCGAATCGCGTCTACTTCACCACATAGCACACCAAAAGGCAAATCGCTCGCAGCCGCCGGCCACCACCTCTGCGCACTTTCGGCAATGACTGGACGAGCAGGACGCTAGCCGCGGCCGGCGATCAGCCTCAGTGGATGCGATTCATGAAGCCCTACGGCCTTTATAGACCTCCGGCAGAGCGGCGTCATCGCGCGGGCAGCGCCGATGCCGGCCACCGGTGACCAGGCACGGGCCGGCGGCGTCGCGCTGCCCCGGCCTCCCGCGCCAGGAGGAGGGCTGCCGCCGCGCTGCTCCAGCCTCCCGCGCCAGGAGGAGGACCGCCGCCGCGCTGGCCCGGCCTCCCCGCCGGGAGGAGGGCTGCCGCTGCGCTGCCCCGGCCTCCCGCGCCGGGAGGAGGGCCGCCGTCGCGCTGCCCCGGCCTCCCCGCCGGGAGGAGGACCGCCGCGGCCCGGCCACAGGAAGCCAATCTCGCCGCCGCGCCGTATTCGGGCCGCAGTGAGAAAGCGCAGCGGCGAGCTGAGTGACAGGAGCCGGATCGGAGATACGCCTGTAGGGGTCACACTTCACCGCCTGGACGGAGCGGAGGCGGGGTGGGGCGGGGCGTCGACCTCGGTCAGACGGTGGTGTGTTTCTGGCTGAGACATCCTCAAAGTGCCGCCGCATTTTCTAGACCTCAAAGAAATCAAGTCACAACGTAAGAGCAAAGATGTTATTTAATAATACCACGAAACATTTACATCCGGCTATACCAGCTATACCAAAAACCTGATCGGACTGAAGATCTATATATATATATATATATATATATTATTATA